CCCCCCGGGGCGCCAGGCGAGTCCAGGGGGGCCCCGGGGGGCCCCCCGGGGCCCCAGGGGCGTTCCAGGGGGCCCCCGCCACCCCCCGGGGCCCCCGTGGGACCTCTGGGGCGCCCCGCTTTGGGCCCCCCGGAGCCCCGGGGCCCCCGTAGAGCCTCCCCCAGGGCCTGTTGGGCCTCCCTGGGGCCCCCGTCGTTCCACGGGGGCCCCCTTGGGCCCCGGGGCCCTCCAGAGGGGCCTCGAGGGGCCCGAGGGGGGAGACCCCGGGGATTCCGACCTGGGCGCGTGAGAGACCTGCTACAGTGCTGCAGTGCTGCAGTGCGTAGGGGTGAGTGCGGGTGTTGTGGGGTGGCTCAGGCGCTGTTGCGGACCCGCGAGTGCACTTGCTGTTTCACCGGGGGCTGCCGCTGCGGGGCGAAGCCTCGGGGCGAAAAGGCAGCAGCAAAAAGGGAGGAGACAGCATCTTTTCCTTCACTTTGTCTGCCTTTGGGCCCCCCAAGGCTGCCGACTCCGCCTGCCTTCCCCCCTTCAACATCGGGGCCATTGCCCAGCACTTCCACGGCCTTCTGCAGGTGCGTGGGCTGCTGCAGGATGCTGCTGCAGCGGGCTGCTGCAGCAGCCCAGCAGCCTCGGTGAGGCGCTGCTGCTGCTGCAGCGGCAGCCAACTTAATACAAACTTAAGTGGAATACGTGCTGGAATTATGGGTGCTTTCATGTGCATGCAATGCGTGCCCCTACAAGCTCCCATTGTACTTTGCGCGCCGAGTGGAGAAGCTGTTAGGCTACTGCTGCAGCAGGGCTGCTGCTGCGTCGAGGCTGCTGCTGCAGCGCGCTCCCGCTGTAGACCCGCAGCAGCAGACTGAAGCTTTCTGTGATGCACACTGCAACGTGGCTGCAGGAATCCCAGCGACGAGCACCGGAGCCTCGCAGCAAGAAGCAGCAGCAGCAGCAAGCGTCTCAGGCGTCTCGGCGTGGGGCAGCACACGGGGGCAAACAGAAGGGGAGAAATGCCAACGCGGGAGGGAGCAAGCGGGGATCCCAGGCGAATGCGCAGAGAGGGCAGGGGCAGTACCAGCAGCAGCAGCAGGCACAGTCAAGGCAGTCGCAGCAGCAGCAGCAGCAGAGGGGCTCGGGCCGAAGGAGAGGCAGGGGGGGGGGG